GACCACAAGGTCTCTAACTTCCACCAGCTCCGTGATGTCATCATGGAGGAGCGGAAGAGGACTCTAGTGGAACCTCTGAAGCTCCAGTGAACTCCATGCCCAAGAGGGTTAAGGCAGTGCTGGAAAATAATGGTGGCCACACAAAATATTGACAGTTTGGGCCAAATAAACATTTTCACTTAGGGATATATTCACAAATGTTGCCAGCTATTTCATTAATAGGACATTTCTTTTTCTATTTTTTGAAGAAAACCATTCTATCCAGTACTTGACATTTTGACCACCTTGATGCATTCATGAAGGGTTGTTTTTTTTTTGGCTCATGCATTGTAGGGTTAAATATCAAAAATGTAAAAGGTGTGCGTCATACCTGACACCTAGTCGAACACTTAACAGTTGGCTTCACGACTGTACGTCATTCCCTTCAAATGCTAAGAGCTTTAAATAATGGCATATTTTGTGTATGGGCTTATTCAGTAATGAAATACATGTCATTTATACAATGAAATTTAAATGTGATTTAATAGTTTATTTTATAAAATTTCAGAAATCTAAAAGGTGTGCGTCATACCTGACACCTAGATGATCACTTTACAGTTGGTTATATGACTGTACATCATTCCCTTCAAATGCTATTGAAGTTAGAATAGTGTTTAACAATGTCGCATGTAACTTTAGAGACGGTCCCTTAATTTCCGCGAATATCGAACATCCAACGTCACACCAACTTTATTCCAGCGAGGAACCGAGTGTTTGAGGTCACGGTTTGTGTTCAGTAAAAGCTTCTCAAAATGAGGGAAATCGTTCACATGCAAGCTGGTCAGTGTGGGAATCAAATTGGTGCAAAAGTAAGTTTAAAGCATGAATATTATTGCAATTCTTACCGTTTAGTTTTATTAGCAGGTTAAATTCAGAGGGGAAAAACTGGTCGTTGGAAATGTCTCAGTTACTTGTCAAGAATATTAGACAGCAACATTTGTTGATGTGTTAACTATTTAAGATACTTTTCTCCTGATTAACTGAAAGTTAACTACGACGTGGCTGATTTATTTCAGGGTTAAAGTCGGAAATAGCTTCTTTTTTTGTGGTTTGTTTGTTGTTATTTATTAGAACTGTGCCGCTCGAGCTAGCTTGCTCACATTACGAACATGCTGTGGTAACCGTTGACTATAATAATGGTCTGGTTTTGTAATGTGATGCTGCTGTAGTTTTGGGAGGTGATCAGTGATGAACACGGAATCGACCCGACCGGTACCTACTACGGTGACAGCGACCTGCAGCTGGAGAGGATTAACGTGTATTACAACGAAGCCACTGGTAAACCCGGTTATTCATAGCGTCACCTTTTGTCCCAATAAGCTTACGGTTTAATTTCTCACCTTAAATGCTTAAGTGGTCGTAATGAAAGTGTGTCCTGTGTTGAAACAGGTGGAAAGTATGTTCCCCGGGCTGTACTGGTGGACTTGGAGCCAGGAACCATGGACTCCGTAAGATCTGGTCCTTTTGGCCAAGTGTTCAGGCCAGACAACTTCGTGTTTGGTGGGTGACACTTCTATTTATTTTTATTTTTAATGATTGAAATAAAAAAAAATATTTTTTTATGATCGTTTGCTCACCTCCTTTGTCACATTTATTTATTTATTCATTTTTGTTTAGGTTTTTCCCCCTGCCTCTGAATTTTGGACAAATGGTGGGATGATTAATAAAAAAAAAAAAAAAAAAAAAAGAGGGAGATGGCTGGATACAGATGTACAATATTTGCACTAAAGTAATATTTTGCCAAACCTGAATGCAACTTTTTATTTATTATATCTTGTGTCTGGGTGACATTTTGTCATGCTCATAAGCAACGATGGATGAATGCAGGCAGAGGGTCCAGTTTAACCCAGTATAATGCAAATTTAGAGAGATGAGGGAACGAAATGCAAGGTGACATTAAATGAAGAATTGAATAGTAGATTTTTCTCATTTTAGATCTGTAGGTCACAACCAATGTATACAACATATATTTCTTAAGGTGTATCTAGAAATTTCCAAAAAATGCATTCAAAGATCTAAATATTTTCTTTTGGATAGTAATGCATGTGTTAAGCACACATTTTTATATAGATCACTTTAATTGTTTAAAATGGCATGTTTGTGGTGCCTTTATGTTGTAATTTATTCTTATTGTCCTGCTTTTCACAGGTCAGAGTGGGGCCGGAAACAACTGGGCCAAAGGTCATTATACTGAAGGTGCTGAGCTGGTGGACTCGGTGCTGGATGTTGTGCGTAAGGAGGCTGAGAGCTGTGACTGCCTACAGGGCTTCCAGCTCACTCACTCCTTGGGTGGGGGCACCGGATCGGGCATGGGCACGCTGCTCATCAGCAAGATCCGTGAGGAGTATCCCGACCGCATCATGAACACGTTCAGTGTTGTGCCATCTCCGAAAGTCTCAGACACTGTGGTGGAGCCCTACAACGCCACTCTGTCTGTGCACCAACTGGTGGAGAACACTGATGAGACGTTCTGCATCGACAATGAAGCACTTTATGACATCTGTTTCCGTACTTTAAAGCTCACAACTCCCACTTATGGTGATCTTAACCATCTTGTTTCTGCCACCATGAGTGGTGTAACCACCTGCCTCCGTTTTCCTGGGCAGCTCAATGCTGACCTGCGAAAACTGGCTGTCAATATGGTGCCCTTCCCTCGTCTGCACTTTTTCATACCTGGTTTTGCCCCACTCACCAGCAGGGGGAGCCAGCAGTACCGTGCACTCACCGTGCCTGAACTAACACAACAGATGTTTGATGCCAAGAATATGATGGCTGCTTGTGATCCACGCCATGGCCGCTACCTGACTGTGGCTGCTATCTTCCGGGGCCGCATGTCTATGAAAGAGGTGGATGAGCAGATGCTCAATGTGCAAAATAAAAACAGCAGCTATTTTGTGGAATGGATCCCCAACAATGTCAAAACAGCTGTATGTGATATCCCACCAAGAGGGCTTAAGATGGCTGCCACATTCATTGGCAACAGCACAGCCATCCAGGAGCTGTTCAAGCGCATCTCTGAGCAGTTCACAGCTATGTTCAGGAGAAAGGCCTTCCTGCATTGGTACACAGGAGAAGGAATGGATGAGATGGAGTTCACTGAGGCAGAGAGCAACATGAATGACCTTGTGTCTGAGTACCAGCAGTACCAGGATGCCACAGCTGAAGAGGAGGGCGAGTTTGATGATGAAGAAGAGGAATTGGCATAAAGATGTGTTAATCTTTCACATGTTCACATTTTTCACAATTTCTATATCTTTCTGTTCCTTGAAATCGATGTAAAGTTCAGTTAACAACTCCACCTTTGTAATTTCAAACTTTCTAATAAATGTTTGAATTGGGCAGCTTGGCTCGTTCTTTGCTCATTTTTAACTAAATCATTCAGCAATTTGGAGTCCAATTTCTTTTTAGTTCTTATGTAGTTGCACAGAATTATGAATGCTATATTTACAATTTTTTGCCTCTACTAAATTTTAACCTCAGATGATTTTTACATCAAGCAAAAATATTCAAATAAATGGCTGTTGTGAAATTGGGCTTTAAACCAAAAGGAGATCAGGGGTGTTGATGGGAGGTCTATGTGAATACAGCTCAGTCAGATTGTTGTGGGAAAAAAAAGATTTGATTTTGCTGCGGGCCCCATGCCCAAATTTGCAATGCAATATGTGGATTTTTTGGTCCTATTTTTGCAGAAAACTACTTGAATTGCTAACTTCCAAGCGATCTAACACCAAAATAGCTCATGTTTGATATGTTTGTGAGATCGGTTGTGATATGGTTGCGAGCTTCCTCGTTCCTCGCCTCCTCGCGGTGCAATTAGAGAATTGAGATGTCCTTCAAGATGGTTGACTTCGATCGATTTCCGGGTCACGGGCTGGAGGACGGTGGAGCGAGAAAACGAGGACGCATCATTCATTTTCAATTTAAATCTTTCAACGGTGTACTGGCCCTTTAATTCAGCGAGGGTGGGGTGGGGTGTTGTGTGGTTGGGGGGATTGACTTAATGCCGAAATATGTGCGTTGTAATATCTACTTCCGGTGTAAAATTTTCGCGGTGCAGACATGAAAGACATTACAAACTGCAGTCTTGTCATCATTCCACACAGCACGAAATCGATGTGTTTTCCCGCCCTCTTTTGATTGACAGGATATAATCGGCCCTGATCATCGGTTGTTTTTAAACTATCGTCCGATAAATCATGTCTTCAAGCAATGTATATCCCTAAAAAAAGTGATCACCCAAGGCTTGTGAAGATTCTTTGCAATTTGCTACATCTGGAGGTCCAAAATTAATATCTACTTATAATATGCAGTTAGTTCTTTCCTTTAAACAGGATCTGTATAGCCACCAATAGGATGCAGGATGCAGACACTAATTATAATTATGTGGCTGCAAGCAGAAATTTGCTTATTTCCTCTTCTATGAAGAAGACATTTAGTTGCATTTGTTAGATCTCTAAACCATTCAACAAACATTCAAATCAGCTAAATGTGATATCCGATCAGCTTAAGTCGAAACAAGAAAGCTAAACTGAGACATATTGCCAGCACGTAGCCAGGCCAGCTTTTCACTGTCATCTTGAAAAATCAAGATGCTGAGCACAATATTGTCCCAAAAACTGAAAACTGATCAAAACAAGCCACACGCAGAATATCCCCACTACATTTACATTCATGGACTTTGGAGTGGATAAAAGATAGAAACCCTTTCCCTAAAAAATTTAGCCAATTTGATCTGGAACATTGCCCCCTCTCTTCATTTCCACACCAAAGTTATTTTAACCAATCCTGCTACTGGTATGTTTTTGGCAGGTGGGAGGAAACCAGAGAACCCTGAATTGTATAGTTAGAGCCTGGGACCTGGAGCTGGTTGTGCTCTTTATATTCATATTGAAGTATGATTCTGGCTACACTGAAAGTCATGCTTTGGTAAGAGTATGGTTGTAGGCTGCTCTTAAAGACTCTGCTCCAGGTGAGACTCAAACTCACAACCTCAGCATTGCTTCACCCGTACTGCTGTATAACTACCGCACGCTGACCGATTGCACCACTGGAGCCCTGAATAAGTGTGAGTCTGATTAATTGTGTGGGTCTCATCCAGGTTGTCTGGTTTCTTCTGACTTCCCAAAAACAAGCTCTACACTGATTGTAGGTGTGAAAGAATGTTAATGTTGTCAGCAATTCTTAGTTCTGTGTCAAATATCCTTGGTATATTCTTGTTTTTTAACATATTTAGTTTATCTTTTTCTGTTTTTTTCCCATATATATATATATATAAATATAAATATAAATTTTATATAGCTTTAGTTGAGTAAAAGTCTGGGGTTATTGCTCCAGGTGAGGCTCGAACTCACAACCTCGGCATTGCTTCACCTGTACTGCCTTATAAGTACCGTGCGCTGACCGATTGCGCCACTGGAGCCCTGGTTGGGGGTGAGGCTCATGGATTGTGTGGGTTTCATCTAGGTTGTCTAGATTCCTCAGATTGGGTTTCCTCAGGTTAACAAGGTCTGGCCCGTCTTCCTGCCGCTCCTGTCACTGTTTTGTTCGTTTTTGTTCTCATTGATTTATTTAAGTCATATTGTTTTAAATAACAGTGAGTTATTTATGTCATATTGTTCTCAGTGCGCAATCATGTAATCATGTTTATCTTAATCAGGGCTTATGGTAGACTAAGAACCTTTTCCAGAAACACTAAGTGTGAGGTGGGGATATACCCTGGAAGCAGTGCACATACATTCACACCAAAGTTATTTTATTTTCGCCAAACCAGCTACTGGCATGTTTTGGGAGGTGGGACAAAACTGTTGTTAATGAACATGTAATTCTTCCAACTCACAATCCAGCACACTACATCCATAATCATTAAGTGAAGTTGTGTTCTTTATATGCAGTGGAGGCTGTGATTAAAATCTATGCTCCAGGTGAGGTTTGAACTCACAACCTCAGCATTGCTTCACCTGTACTGCTGTATAAGTACCACGCACTGACCAATTGTGCCACTGGAGCCATACTGCTAACATGGCTGCTGGATCCACCATAATCCTGACTGGGCTCCACGCAAACAGAAGATGACTGAATGAATTGACATGCAATTAAAAAAAATTGTCATTGTTTCCAGCTGCATTTTTAAAAATGTTATTTATTCAAAGTTTTTATGTTGCTATGTTTGAGAATTTATGTTGACTCTGCACTTTTAAATTAACGTTTATCTTGATTTATTTCCATTCTACAGTGTTTACTGCTTATTTGATAGATTTTCCAATATAATGTATTTTAAGCAGTATTTTAACTTATATTTTCGAAACATCTAAATTATTTGATCAATTATGCCTTTGTACAATAAAGAGTGAACATTTAAAGTAACCATAATGTTATTGTAAACTGAAATAATGACAGAAATATACTGCATTTTACTACTGTAAAATAATTCACAGTAAAATGACAGTATATTGGTGGCCTCTTTGCTGTCAGTATTTTACTGTAAATTGAAAAAATACAGACGTATATTGTATAATTTTTTTTTACAGTAATACACTGTAATTAGTGTGATTGAATTATTGCACATGTGCGATTAGAAAAATCGGTCGGCGCGTGTATAGTATACAGTACTCTGCTAACTACAAAATTTGTGTCATGTGTACTGTATGCTGTTCCTAGTGTATGCGTAAAAAGAGAAGCATACTTTCAGCTTAAAATACAGTTAATGCAACTCTTTCACCTGTAAGCTCAAATATAGCATACCTTTAGTAAGATCTTTATCTTGGTCAGAATGGATCCAGGGACTATCCCACCTTCACACCTATGAGTAATTTACCTTGGCACATTCACACTCTAAGATGATTGCTTTAAAAGCTGTGCTCCAGGTGAGGCTCGAACTCACAACCTCAGTATTGCTTCACATGTACTGCCGTATAAGTACCGCAATATTTTTTTTTAATCATATTTACTCAACCTTTTTCTGTTTTCTTACTATAGTTTTAGTTGACTAAAAGTCTGGGCATTTTGTTGTATTGTCTGTATGGTGTATTTATTGTTTTCTTTAATGAACCACATGGAGAAACTGCATCTGATTTCCCTGCACTTTTTTACCTGCTACTAATGGACGTGACAAACAAATCTCGAATCTCTCAGAATGTCATTCACACATTTGTTCACACCTAATTAAGATCATAAGTGTAGATTGTGCACTAAAGTTCAGAAAAGACATGGCTCTGTTTCATGTGTTTCGTCCAGGTTCTCTGCTTTCCTCTCTCCTGACAAAAACATGCAGGTAGGTAGATTGAGCGTGCTAAAATTGCCCCACAGATGTGAAAGATTGTGTTTTATTGTGTGTTCCTGCCACACACATAGAGTTCCCAGGATCCACCACAAACAGAACTAGCATGAAGTGATTAACGAACATATAGTTCTTCCAACTCACAATTCAGCACACTACATCTAGAGAGATTGTGCTCGTTAAGCCCTGATTGTGGGTGAGGCTCATGGATTGTGTGGGTTTCATCCAGGTTGTCTGGCTTAGCCCTGTGTCAAATATCCTTGATAGTTTTTAGCATGTTTAATCAATTTTATTCTGATGATTTAAGTAATGAGAATGATGAGATCTAATGTATAATAAAAAGAATATGTGTATGTCTGAAACAGTGAATAATATACAATCAATTACACACCATTTACTCAGCCATTTGATTGATTGAACTGTCCCCCAATTTGAAAATTCTTCTTTGGCTTCTTATTGTCTACAATCTCACAAAAACTAAAACTTGTATCCAAATAAGTTCCCAAATATACTTTCCACAATCTTTCACACAAACCAAAATTTGTTCACACATAATTGAGATCATAATTGTAGATTGTGCACTAATGTTCAGAAAAGACATGGCTCTGTTTCATGTGTTTCGTCCAGGTTCTCTGCTTTCCTCTTTCCTACCAAAAACATGCAGGTAGGTAGATTGAGAGTGCTAAAATTGCCCCACAGATGTGAAAGATTGTCTTTTATTGTGTGTTCCTGCCTCACGCATAGAGTTCCCAGAATCTCGACACTGCTTTATTGGCATTCGAAATATTCTCAAAACATTTGTCCATTATACGTGTTGAGCGCGTCAGGCATGTTGCTGAAGAGCTGGAAGATGTGCAGATATATCACAAGTATTAAAGTCCCCAAGAATAAACACAGGCTGGTCCACAGACCTCTACAAAGTGTTACTGAAACATTTACTAATTTTATCCGCTGCTTCAGTATTTTGTGGTCCTGGCACATAGACAAGAATCTCTGCAACCTGCCCAAACTCACAGGGTAAATAGGAGAATCTTATTGCAACGGATATAATCTAATAATCACGGGTTCAACTCTTGTCCAAAATTCTACTGCCTTGCCCAGTTATTGATCAAATATAGGCAGAGTCCACCACCAATGGCTTTCCCTGCAGCTCTATTGTCCTGATCCTCTCGAACAAGAGTGTAACCATCCAGGACAATATTGCGGTTATTCTCCGTAAACCAAGTTTCTGCTAGGAATATTATTGCAAGTTATTGCACCTAAACAAATCTAATAGTTATTTCATCAAGTTTGTTATTTAGGGATCAAACATTAGAAAGAGTAATCACAGGACGAGGTGACGGGCACCTCGTCTGCACATCTTCTGTTACTTTCATTTGTCCTTCCTTTAATATGGATAGGAAATGTCAGTCTAGCATTGCAGGTGTTCCCAAGGAGTGCTTGTGCTCTTATAGTGACAGTGAAAATTCCAGAGAGTAAATCCTCACAGGTGTGCCAACACCATTCTCTCCAGGTGTCGAAAGGTTTTCCAAAATTAAGGAGAAAATCAAAACGCACATAAATACAGATTTTCCAGCGACCTCCATTCTCATTTTCGCTATACCATCAAGTGATCAACCACATATGCATGCACCTTCAATGTAACGAAAACAACTTAGACAAACACAAGCAAACAAGCAGAGAAGAGCTGGGTCTGCAGCTTGGTCGCAAATTTTCAAGTTGTTTTGACTATTATAGTGCCACTCCTCCATTATTAAAGTGACCAAACTCCACCATTTTTTTACAAGTATCCTCAGACATTACATAAGTTTTACAAGATTGGTGAATATTTCTCATTCACTTCAAGAGTTATAGCCATTTAAGTAAAAGTGGCCACATCCACTTAAAACTTTTTGATGTGCCCTTGCGAGGGTAAATCAAAAGTTCAACTTTTTTTTGATAACTATTGATATAAGACGTCCAAATTATTGTGCTGCAATAGTTTTATTTCTCTTGAACAAAAATCCTATGACTAGTTTGCAGTAGGGGGTTTTAAATATTATCTGAAATTTTTACGGAACGGTTTGACAAATATGTTTAGATTGAGAAGGCCTATTATTTGTTATATATCAGTTGTGTTTGTTACGCCTCTTCCGTCCTCCTCCACAGTCTGCAGCCACCTTTTCATCACTGTCTCAACCTCAGTACTTGTTGCCCTTGATGTTAACGGGTTCTTTCGGACAGCATCTAATGAACATCAGTAGAAAAATCAAAAGGTATTCACTTCTGATAGAAATTACAAGATACACTGGCTACGGCACAATTTTATAACTCAAGTCTCTCAGAGGCAAAACAGGTTACAACTTCTGCAAAACCCTAAAGGCTATTTATACTTCTACGTCTGACTTTTGCGTAGCCTTTGCATTGCCTGATGTGCACCTCTCCAAAACTGTAACAACACATTGTGTGTATGGACAACAGCTGTGATTGGTCCTTTGTGCTTTGAGAATAAATGGAGTAAAGCAGATAGCTTGTAGCTTCTTGTAAGAGCGCTGAGGCTTATTACACACAGATGGGTTGAACAGAGCTCAAAATGTAAATTAATCTGGTGATTCAAAAATGTTCATAATACATTTATTTATTCATATAACAACAGTGGCTGACATAATGTGGCAAATATATTTAACAGAGATTCCAATAATTGTTTATTACCTCCATTTCGAAAAAAGTAGCAATCTATGCACCACTTCTCCATGTACAGAGGTAAACAAACATCTTCTGCTGTGCTTTGCTCCCGTG